GGGCTGCTCCTGTTTCCAGCACAGGGCAGAGCCAGGGAGCTGGACTTCCCTTTGCTTTTGCTCATTATCCGTGTGGATAAAACAAGCTGGAAAGCAAAATAATTTTGTTCTGCACTCTGCCTTGGCACCTCCCACGATTTGACCCTCAGAGGAGCAGGAGCTGCTTTGTTCATTTGGGGCTGTTCTCCTTCCTCCTGATGCCTCTTCCATGAGTTGTCTGGACATGGGGGAGTCTCAGCCCAGAGCTGTGCCCACCCTTGGGAAAACCAGCATTTGCAAGAAACGCTTTTCCCAGCCTTGGGGTTTTTTTGCAGAGCCTGGAGACATTTCCATGCTGGAAGAGCCTCTCCTGATGTTAAAGTAGGAGTTCTTGCAGGAGCACAGAGCCCTGGGATGCTCTGTGGCACTCCTGGTGCTGGTTCAGCATGCCAGGGTGGGAGAGGATTCCCAGGAGCAGCTTCACAACACCACAGGTGGCTGCCCAAGGACAGTGGGAAGGAGGAGGATGTGCATTAATCCGTGTCAACTGCTCTCTTTCCTGTGTCCAACAAATCAATAAATTCTGGCTGGAAACAAAATCATTACTTGCCTCCTCTCTTGTTCCAGCTCAGCATAGACCTGGAGATGCCAAAGGAATGGGATGTGGAAATTGTTCCAGCTGGATTTATGGAATGGCTGGAGAGGTTTGAGATGGAGCTCAGGGAAAGGTTCCTGCCCCCGAGGGTGCTGGCACTGCCCAGGCTGCCCAGGGAATGGTCCCGGCCCCAAGGCTGCCAGAGCTCCAGGAGCTCTCAGGGATGCTCAGGGTGGGGCTGTTGGGGTGGCTGTGCAGGGACAGGGGCTGGGCTGATGGTGATGGTGAGACCCCACCTGCAGAGCTGCCCCAGCCCTGGGGCCAGCACAGGGAGGAGCTGGAGCTGCTGGAGAGAGTCCAGAGGAAGCACCAGGATGAGCAGAGGGATGGAGCAGCTCTGCTGGGAGGAAAGGCTGGCACAGCTGGGATTGTTCACCTGGACGAGAGAAGCTCTGGGGTGAGCTCACTGTGGCCTTCCAGGACCTGACAGGAGCCTGCAAGAAAGAATGAAAGAGACAATTTCCAGGGGCTTTCAGGGACAGGAAGAGGGGGAATGACAAAGAGTAAGTTTATGTTGGATATCAGGGAAAAAATTCTTCCTTGTGAGGGTGGGCAGGCCCTGGCACAGGGTGCCCAGAGCAGCTGTGTCTGCCCCTGGATCCCTGGCAGTGCCCAAGGCCAGGCTGGACAGGGCTTGGAGCAGCCTGGGACAGTGGAAGGTGTCCCTGCCATGGCAGGGGTGGAATGGGATGATATTAAAGTCCCTTCCAGCCCAAACCAGTCTGGGACTCTGTGAAGAGCAACAGATGTTCACGGTGAGGTTTGAAGTAACCCCGAGGAGGGAGCACAGGCAGGATTTTTCCTGCTCAAAAGAGCCACAGTTGGATCTCTTGGAGCATCTGAAGGGAAAAGCACAGAGCTGGCTGCACTCCCAGCTGGAGACAGAGGTCCTGCAGCTGAGCCAGGCTGGAAAAGTGGTTTGTGCCTGTGAGCAGGGCTGAGCAGAGAGCAGCTGCTGCCCTGAGGCTCCCAGGGCTCTGCCCAGCAGGAATGCTGAGCTTTTCCTGGAGCCACGCGAGCACAGCCTGCCTGTCAGGTGTTTGCAGTAATGGAAAAAGGCAAACAAAGCCATCCAGGGAACAAATGAGGATAAATCCAGGCACTTCTACCTGCTCACAAACAGCCTGCCAGCTGAGGAGCTGAAATGCAACCCCCTGGAGAAGCTGGAGCATCCAGGCACCGCTGAAGCTGCAGTGCAGGAGTGGTGCTGGAGGGCAGAGAAGGGATGTCAGGGCGGGTCAGAGGGGTGGAAGGTCAGATAAACTGGGCCAGGGAGGTGCACACGGGGGAGCCAGGTGGGAAACTGCATGCCCAGGTCCATGGGAATGAAGAACATCCTGGTGTCCTTCCCTGCGTGCTCAGGCTGGGACTGCAGCCTGCAGCAGACTGGGTCATAGCCAGAGCCTGACCTTTGCAGCCCCAATTAGCTGGGAGAGGAGCTGTGCAGCTAATGAGCCCGTGAAGGGATTTATCTCAGCCCCAGGCACCGACACTGACTGTAAATTCCTGGCACAGGCAGCAGCTCCATATCGATCCCAGCAAGGCTGAGTGCTCCCCAGCATAAAAATCACAGGGAAATGGGATTTCTCCACGAGATTTCTTTGTGCTGCTTGGGTGCCTGTGAGACCTCCTTGTGCCCAAAAGCCACCTGCAACAGGTGACATTGTTGTTGATAGTCAGAAATTGGAGGTTGTTGATAGCCAGAAACTGTCACCCCTTGGAGGGGGGTGTGACCTGTGATGGCAGCAGACTTGTTGGGGGAAAAGAGAAGGAATAGATCATTAATTCCATAGGATTCAGTGGGAATTCTGGAGAACAGGGAGGAGAGAACCTGAGGGATACACTGGAGCCCTTGAGATACAAGGGAAGAGCTGTCAATTTTTCCTGATACAGTTTGCAGGAATGAGGCACTGGGAGACACTCTCTGGGTATCTGCCCAGTTTAACTGGTTTTCTTGAAATAAACTGGTGCCAGAACATTCCAGAAGGGTCACAGGAGGGAAGAGGGGTCTCATTCTCACAGCTGGGGACAGGGTGCAGAGGGGCTGGGGAGCTGCAGAGGATTTAGAGCCCAGTCCCCAGCCCAGCCCCCCAAACTCAGGAGCTTGGAATTGGTTCCTGCTCTGATTCCCCCTCCTTGCAGCCAGGCGTGGTTGGAACCGCTCAGAGCGTGGGATGAGGAGGGATAATTAGCCCTGAGCTTTCCTCTACCTGCAGGAGGCTGGAAGGAAATTCTGAGTCAGACCAAAACAACATTTAGAAAATGTAGCAGGCCCAGGCAGGATGATCAGTGGCTGGTAATGACAATTTATCTTGTCGCATCTTGATACCTCCTGTTGTAACGTCCTCCCTGCCTGGTTTGCAGGGAAAGGGCAGCCTGTAAATCTCAGAGGCATTGGGAGATACTGTCCTTCTCACTTCACAGGCTGGAGAGGTGCCTTGAGCTAGAACCTGGCAGGCAGAGGCACAATTCCACCACAGAGCACCTTTGCTGTGCTGCAGGGAATTTGTTTCCATCCTCATTCAACCCCAGCTCTACTCCTGCCAGGGAACAACTCCCACTGCCAGCAATTCCCACTGCAACATTTTAAACAATCCTAGAACCCGTGATTCTCTCCAGGCTGATCATCCCCACGCTGGCACACCCAGAGGAAATTCATCTTGCACCATGGCAGGCTGCAGGAACACATAATATTTCTTCCCTTGGGAAATCCTGCAAGGGTACCAGAGAACTGGGTACAAGGAACTGGTACTGGAACTGGAACTTGAACTGGGAACTGGTACTGGAATGGGGAACAAGGATGAACAAAGCCCTGCAACCCACCTGGGAAGCAGAGTGGGTTTCTTCCTATTTTGTAGAAAAATAAAGGACATTTCTAAAAGTTCCTGGGAGCTCAGGAAGGTCCCCAAGAAAGGAATAAAGCCCAGGAGTGGCAGCTCCCTGTGTCCAGGTTTAACTGGTAAATACAGCAGGTTCAGTCAGCTCCAGGGGAGTTGTTTCCCCAGGAGATGCTGAGCCAGTCAGACAGAGGCACTGCTCTGCAGTAGCTTGAGCATCAAATGAGAGAGGAGAGAGGTTTACAGGAGCGTGGCTTAATTCCCAGCCGCCTGTCAGCTCGGAGCACACACATGTTCAGCTCTCACAGCCCAAGTAACTGATAAGAGCTCGTTTATTAATCCCTGGTAACTCAATCTGCCCTCCCAGCCCCAAGTGCTGAGCAGAAACGATGCCCTCAGGAGCTGGAGATCAATTTAAATTTCCAGAGCCTTGGTCCCTGACTCACTCCATAGTGCCAGTGCTCCTCAGAATAAGCAGAGAGTGGATTTTCTGTCACATCCCTGATCCCAGCTCCCCTTCCAGCAGTGCTGGCTGCCACATCCTGCTGTGCTGGAGTCATGGACAGGAGCTGTGCAGGGGAACACGTCTGACCAGCTCCCACCCCCTCCACCAGCTTTGGGAAGGATCCTCTGGGTGATGGTGCTTCCATGCAGCCCCATCTGGAGGGGAACAGGGACTCCAGGGCTCTTTGTGCTCATCCCTGGTGCTCACTGCAGGAAAAACTCCCTTGGAAGTGGCAGCTCCAACAGAGAGCTGAGAGTCGAACCAGACTGGAGGGATGAGGAAAACAAAGTCACTGACGTGGCCCAGGTGACACAGCCACAGAGGGGTGGGAGGAAAACCAGGTTAATGGCCCACATGCAAATCCTGATTGCTGCTTGTGCAGGAGCCTCAGCGACTCCCAGCACCCCTGGACTGGCTCCAGCCCTCCCAGTTGCACCTCTCAGGGGTCTCCTGGAGAATCAGAGCCACGGAAGGGGAGCTGGCAGCAGCCCAGCACTGCTGACACTGCTTCAGCAGCCCCCAAACACTGCTGACCATGAACTCTTTCATTCTGGCACGGCAGGTTCTGCTGCTCAATAAAAGGGCCATTTATGAGGGAACAGTCAATAAAGTGAGACTTGCTTATCACAGCTGGTTAGGAGTGGTTGGAAACTGCACCCTCTGGAATGGTGAGGGGTCACTGTTTCAGGACAGCTGCAGTGTCCTGGAGCTGAGGTCCCTCCTGCGGGTCTGGGACAGAGTTTGACATGCTCAAACTCCCCAGGTTATGGCCACAAAGCTGGAAAATGGACGTGGCCACTCTTCCCTGCTGGCCTGCTGCAGCTCCCGGGGCTCAGTGTCCCCTGCTCTGCATTCCAGCAGTGTCAGCCCATCAAGAACCTGCTCTCAGGAGCTGCTGAGCCTGGGGGTACAACAGGAGAGGGTGCTGGGGCCACCAAAACACCCTGGTGACAGCTGAGTGCTGGCACAAGAAAGAAAAAGGAGAGGACGACAGCTCAGATGAAATGTCTGCACTTTTATTGAGGCTCTGAACAGTCACAAACCTACAGCCCCTCTGCTCCCCAGCACTGCTGTGCCCTGTGGCAATGTCACCTCAAGGCGGTCCCCTCGGGGAAGGTGACACCCTGATGCTCTGAGCGCTCTGAGGCATTGACAGAAGTGTCTCTCCCTCAGGTCTGTAAGGAACCTCAGCTCCTGGGAGCTGTTTTGCAGGATCAGTGGAGAGTGAAATGCCCAGGCTTGAGCTGCCGCGGGTGGACAAGGTGCCTCCTGAGGATCCTCTGCAACAAATTCCTCCTGGCTGTCGCCACGGGGAGCTCCAGGGAGCTGCTCCTCGGACAGTCCGTGCCCAGGAGCCTCCTGTCCCTCTTCCCTGCCTCTTGGCTTTCCAGAGCCTCTGTTATTCGGATGTCTCTGGCACATCTGGCCAGGGGAAGCCCTGCTGGGGTCGGGCTGCTTCCGTCGTCCTTGTGACCGCTGACACGAGGACTTGGCTGCTTGTGGTCCCTCTGGCTTCCTCCCATCCCGGAGTCTTCCTCAGCAGCAGGAATCCCGGGATGTCTGCGGCAGAGACCCCGAGGGTGGCCTGAGCCCGAGTGAAAAAACGCCTCCTCGCTGGTGACCTGCGGGCTCCGCCCCAGGGTGACAAAGCCGTACGGGGTGGTGACCTTGGGGAGGTGCGGCAGGGACAGAGCTGCCAAAGCAGTGGGGTCTGGGTTGGAGCAGGATGAGTTGAAAGAGGATGAATTAGAGCCGTGCTCGTCCCGGGCTGCCGCGTCCCAGCTGCTCCTCCAAGCCGTCCCCTCCCCCGTCCCCTTGCCTGAGCATCTCCGCTTCTTGTGGATGTCCAGGGGCGGGATAACAAACTGCGGGATGCGGTCGGGGGTCACCACCTGGAAGAAGATGTCTCTGGAGCCGCTGCCCTGGAGCGCGGGGGGACACAGGGTGGCCATGGTGGCCCCGAGGGCCGGCTGGGCAGCGCTGGGCATTTATGCTCCGCGGCCACCCCCGGCTGGTGACGCGCGGTGACGGCACCGCCAGCTCCCCGCCGAGGTCCAGCGGCCGCCGGGACACGGGGCAGGCGGCTGGATGGAGGGGACAGGTGAGGACACGGCGCTGCCGCTGTCACGCAGGGCCGCTGGCTGTGTCACCCGCGAGGCGGAGGAGCGGGATGAGTCACCAGCCGTGGGCACCAGGTGGAAGGGGCAGCCGGGAGCGGCAGACAAACACTTCAGCTCTGTCTAGCAGAGCTCCCGTCGGGAAACGCTCCGGCCCACGCCATCCCCGCAGCCAGCGGCGGCTCCAAGCACCGCAGCCCGCTCCCTCCTCCACCCCTGGCCGGCTCCTTCCCGCAGCATCCCTGCGCTCTCATCCCGCTGGGCTGGCACTGAGGGGGTGTGGATGCCGTGGGACAGAGAGAGAAAAACGGCAAGCGTTTCTCACAGCGGCTTGTGAGAACTTCCAGGGAGTTGTTAAGGGTGTGATAACTTGTTAGTTAAACGATCTGCTGGTGGTGTTTTTCTGCTTCATCTTTCTGTTCTTCTCAAGGACGGTGAGTGAGGAAGGTGTTTTTGTTAACTAGCCAGTCAAATAGAATGTATCGTAGCACTCTATAAAAACCTTGTGGTTCTCTTGAATAAAGCCTTCTTTGCTCTTTTTCTACAATCCTGCCTCTCGCCTGTTCCTGCGTCATTCTCGGTGCAAGAGCGACAAGGGGGGACAGCCCCAGGCAGCGCCCAGGCCATGGGGAAGAGGCTCTGTGCCTCCCGCAGGAGGGAGGATGAGGAGGATGAAGCTGCTCTCTCAGCTTTGCCTTTCCCCCCCTGCAGCGGGGATGGGAGGGGTTTCCTGTCACTCTCCCCCAGCTAAGGAGGCTCCGGCACTCTCAGGGGGATAAAGGTGACTTTAGGGTGGATCCTGCTGGGAAAATGATGCAGACAGGAACAGCAGCTCCATCTCTGTGCTGGCACAGAGCAGAGGGGCCTCCCCTCACCTGGGATCAGTTTCTCCCTCCCCTGGGGGGCTCAGCAGGGCAGGCTCTGGCATCGCATCACCTCAGTTCTTAACACCCACACACAGCAAGGGGAGAGATCTCAAATCAGAGCCTTGGCAAGCTCCAGGAGACCTTAAACAGAAAGAAAATTAGCCCCTAACTGAGAGCCCTAATTGAGGCCCCAGCACTGATAGCAGGGGAGCCCCCAGCTGAGGGCCCTGGGCTGCCCCACCGATTAGCAGAGCCAGCAGCTCGTCAGGGTAATGAGGAGCAGATGGTGCAGGGCCTATAAGTGCCCTGAAGGCCACAGAGGGGTTAAGCCAGGTTTGTGTCCAGTCTCGGCTCTAGGGAGCAGCCCCCAAAGCAGGTCTGGCCACTGCCCAAGGGGAGGCTTGTGCTGGGGTCACTCTCAGAGCTGGGCTGGAGACTCTGACCTTTTCCTCTCTCTCCAGATGAGGCCACCCACCAGCACTGATTCCTTCTCCAGCAGGCTCCTGGGCCAGATCCTTCAGCTCAGCTTGGTCAAGTACCCGGTGAGTGGTGGTGGGGCTAAAACCTCAACACTGGCAGTTTCTGGGTTTTTTCTGCCAGATAATTTATTTTCTTTCAGTTTTAACATGTTATTAGACATTGGGAAGGAATTCCCCCCTGTGAGGGTGGGTAGGTCCTGGCACAGGGTGCCCAGAGCAGCTGTGGCTGCCCCTGGATCCCTAGAAGTGTCCAAGGCCAGGCTGGACAGGGCTTGGAGCAGCCTGTGACAGTGGAAGGTGTCCCTGCCAAAGATCAGGTGTGGAATAGGTGGTCCTTAAGGCCCCTTCCAACCCAAACAATTCCATGATTTTTCCTCTGCTTTCCTCCCTATTCCAACTTTTTCTCCTTGGCCTTGCCTTGATCCCCTTCAGCTGTTGGTGGCTGCAGCATTCCCCTTTCTCTCCCTTGCTGGGCCAGAAGAAATGTGACGGTTTTGGGAATAAAGTACAGCCCAACAGGTTCTGGCTGAAGCTGGTCCCAATTTCAGGAGAGAGCAGAGTTTAAGGCTTTCCCTGAGGGCTTTAAACACTTGGAAGCCCTCCCGTGTGCTGATGGACCTCTCTTTGCAGCTGAAGCTCCTTCAGAAAGCCTCTGGCTGGATTGGATTGGTGCTCCCTGTCGAGACCATCAGGAGCAGGCTCTGCCCCCCGTGCCAGTCCCCCTCCAGGCCTGGGCTGCTAGCCAGGAAGCGCCGGGGGAAGCTCCTGCGCCTGCTGCTCTCCCTGACTCCCACCAGGGTCCAGACCTTCCTGGGCCACCTCCCAGTTGACTGGGGCCACAGCAACATGTCCAAGGGTAAGAGCTGGGGCCTCCTGGAACACCTGGAGGCTTTGCAGCTGGGAGGAACACAGCGTGGCATTCCTGCAGGGAAAAGTGCTGTGTTTGTTCTGGTGGGTGATTGTGCCTCCTGTGAATCCCTGCAGAGATCCAGGAGGCTCCCATCAACCCAGCTAGCAAAGCCAGCAAGAGGAAGAGGGATGATGTGGCTCTGGAGCAGCAGGAGTCCTGGTTTGTGGTGCTGGAGAGGGATTTGCCAGAGAATGACTCTGAAGACCCCACGTATGAGGTGAGATTCCAAGATGGTTTGGCCTCTGTGCGGGCCTGGGAGTGTTCCAGGGAGGAACCTGCAGAGATTTCCTTCCCTATCCCCTCTTTGAGGGCACAGGGTGTCCAAGGAGCACTTGACCATCAGCCCAGCACCGTCTGAGAGCTGGGCATGCCCCACTCATCCCTGAGGTTTCCCTTTGGCTGATGTCCCTGCAAGGCAGCACCTCTGTCACACTTGGCTGTGGCTCCCTGTGCTGTTGGGACAGGACTGGTGTGTCCTTCCCCACACTGTTCCTTTCTCAGAACCTCCCTTTGCCTCTTTTCCCCCAGCCCTCGGAGCTGGAGTCGGACACTGACGAGTACCAGTCCCAAAATGACACGGACCTGGAGCTGGAGGAGCAGCGTGGGGTCACTGCACTGGAGCTCTCAGCTGTCCAGGTGAGTGTTCCTGCTCCAATCCTGGGGACAGCATCAATCCTGGGCTGCAAGGATTCCCCTCAGCCCCTGGCTGCAGGAGGAGGCAGCCTGGGCTTGCTCTGGTCTGAATTCCATTAATCCCACAAAATCCTAGATTTTGTGCTGCTCTGACCGTGTCCCTGTGCCACACAACCCCCAGGGCTCCGTGTTGCCCCCAGAGCTGGGAGAAGAGGCTCCAGATGTGCCCAGCAGTGGGGGAGATGCTCCAGATGTGGCCAGTGGTGATGCCCAGAAGCCACGAGGGGATGGGAGCAGTGAGCAGGAGACTGACACAGCCTGTGACACCAGCTTGTCCCAGGATGGGGTAAGGACCCTTGGGACAATCCCACCCTCTGAGTGTGGTCCAGGGCAAGTCCCCAGGATGTCCCCAGGCTCTGAGCCTTTGTCACAGAGCTCTGCTGCCAAGGGAAGGGGTTGGAGGGGCTCCAGTCCCTGTGCAGGGACACAGCCTGAGCCCCCAGGTGTTGGTGGGGTGGTGCTGGGTGTGCCCAGTCACCAGTGTGTGACAGCAGTGCCAGATGCCAAGTTCTGGCACCTCTGACCCAGGGCCACTGCCAGCAGGTTGCCACGAGCCTTTCGTGACTCCTTGCCCCGGATATTTTACAGCAGAAAATAGGAAGAATTTGTGGGAGATCTTCACCACAAGCAGCTTCCCCCTCACTGCTCTGGTCCCAAAGCACTGCTGGGTGCCCTCCTCATTCCCAGGAAGCTGCTGCTGCCCTGGGAAGTAGAGGGTAGGGGGTTGCTTTGTCCCCAGTGTCAGTGAGGGCAGGCAGTGCTATGGGGAACATCTCCTGTTTTCTAGGAAAACTAGGAAGCCTGACTTGTGCACCTGGACCTCCTGGGGCTGCAGAGTGCTGGATTCCCTGGGACGGCTGTGTCCCTGAGGAAGATGTCCAGTTAAATGCTGTGTTCATGTTGTTTTTGTCCTTTTTCTGAAGCTTTAATAAAATCACCCTATTTTTTCATTTGACCTGGGCTCTCTTGGCTTTCGGTACCCGGAGCTGGCATTATGGGGTGTGGGGCTTTCCAGGGGGGCCTTTCCCTCTGATCCCTCCTGGGGAAGGGGGATGGCTCTGGGAATGCTGGGATGTGATGGGAGGGGGAGAACTGAAGGCTGGGCAGCACTGGGGCTTTCCATGGGGCTGCCCCTGAGCTTGGACACCCAGGCTGCTCCCTGGATAGCCTTGGGCTGGTGGTGCCTCTAGGGAATCTCCCTCTCTTCTGGCATCCGCAAGAACACTGGAATAACCCCTCGGACTAAACCAAGGAATTTGACACAGAGGCTGTGTTTTGTAGTGAGCACTTGGAGGTTTTCAGTCTGTATTTTGTCTGCTTTACTTGGCAGCTGTGCACAGAATTTCTACCTCTCACGGATCCTAGGAACCATCCTCTCAGGAAGTAGGGATTTTTGGGGTCTGGAAAAGCAGGCTGGGATCAAGAAGTGCCTGAATGTGACCCAGAGCTCTGGAGAGACCTGAGGTTGCCCGGTGCTGGAGCTGTTGTCTGTCCCAAAATCTGAGGCTGTAAAGAGCAGCAACTCCTCCAAATGTGGGTGAGGGAATGTGAAGAGCTCGGGGCTTTGGATCCCTTGCTCAGGGCATGCCTGAGGCTGTGTCTGCCACCACTGCCTGGAGCTGGCTTTGTGTGGGAATCCACTGGGATGACAATGGTCAGAGTGCTGAAATGAGCCGTGGCAGCTCCAGCAGGGCTGTGGGGCTGAAGGAGCTGAGCCCTCGGTTTCGTTTAACCAGGGTGGGCCAGGCCAGCTGAGATCTGCCCGTGGCTGTGTCTGTGCTTGCCCCAAGCCTCTGAAGGAGCAGGAATCCTCTGAGGGGACAGAGGAGCTGAGCTGCCCAAGGTTGTGCTTGTGTCCCAATACCTGTGGGCTGCAGGAGGGAGTGG